TCAATCGTTTATCAAAAGCCTTTTTATTAACGAAAATTCTTTCACACACAGAACTTTGACACATCGTGATCAAAATGTTTTCGTTGAAAATGTCAAACTATCTTATGTGAGATAACATTATGGGAAGAGTCTCATTTGGAAGATTTTATAATATGTATAAATTATATTATTTTAAAAGTAAATTGTTTTCACAATAAAAATTCTCGTCATGATAACATACATATATATGTCTAATGAGAAAAGAAATATATGGTTGATTACTTTTACAACATCAAATACTTGATCTACACATATAATTTGATTTATAAAAAGGCGGAGATACTTTTCAATGAAGCAGTGCCGGATGTAGGATTTCGTACGGGAGTGCGATCATAGGTTAAAAAACAATATTGTGAGATGCACTCGAAGGGATATGAACATTTTTTTGTTTGTTTTTTTCTGGAAAAAATCGAAAAAATTTTCTCGAACAGGGTGCAATCGCCCCATTGCAACCCCCTCGCCCTAAATCCGCTACTGCAATGAAAGAGATTAACGTACTGCAAGAATAACACAATTTTTTGTAATTAATATCAACAGAAACAAAGTAATTGAAAAAATATTTATTTGTTTAGTTCAATTATACATTTAAACAAACTCACTTCAAATGAAATGTCTTACTTTTATATTTTCTCTCCTATAAACAAATTCAAACTGAAATCGATAGAAAAAATCTATTTGGTTCATTCTTTCTTTTACTTTAGCTAAAATTTGTTCAACTCAAAACCTATCTTTATAGTATGAAGTTATTTCTATACAATCCCTTATCTAATTACATATTGACATAACAGAAGAACAACAGAAAATCTATTGCATCATAAATCTAGACTTTAAACTACCAATTTCGTTACAAAATGTTATTGTGTCTAGAAAAAAACGCTTAAGAAAATAGAACTTTTGATCTTTTTGTTCTGAGTTCAAAACTAGCTTGTAGAAAATTGAATAAAGGAATAGTTAGCGTCGAAGTTTTTGTACCTTATGTTATCTTTATAACTTTAGAGACGATTATAGAATTCTAAACAATTGTATGGAATGTTCATCCAAGTGTCCATTTGGGCTTCAACAAAGTTAGTTTTGAATTACTTTAAAAGTAATTCAATAGAAGTTACTTTTACTTTTCTTGTAGCTATTCCTATTGAACAAAACAATGGTTCTTATTTTGTTTGTTTTTCAGAGTATTCGGTCACCATATTATAAGCTCATGGTTGTTTGACCGGTGAAATATAGAAATATTAATTTCATTTTCAAGAAAAATAAACATTTAAAATTTATTCTGCCCTACATTGTTCAGGAACATAATCACTTAGTTTTGCAGAATGCATAACATTCCTACATTCGATCTTTTCATTATATTTCTTACACTCGTATCATGTAAAAAACTTTGTTACATGTTTCTCAGCAGAAATGAAATAAACAACAGAAACATACTCTGACGTTCATTAATTGAATAAAGCAAACTTAAAATATTAATTATTCGAAATATGCTGCAGCACGAAAGAATAAATAATATATTTGAAAATATGACTCGATGATAAGAATATTCGTCATTGAGTAAATGTCAATCCTGCTGAGCAAGATAATCTTTCTATCAAAACACTAGTCGCTGGTATGGTATCTTCTCTTTTGGTTACTACTGATGCTAATAGAGTATTACGACAATTTTCACTACTAGACCAGAACTTTATGGACATACGCATTTCCGATTTCTTTCCCTTGTTAAATTTTTGAAATTTTCTTAATGTTTTAGTTTAATTATGAGAAATTCTCATATGAAATACTTACTTGTCTTAATGAAATACTCATTCGTTTACTTGAATTATGGACTGAATGAAAAAGTTCGACATAATCACTTCGTTGCTTTATAGAGACCACTAATATTTCAACATATACATAAATTTATTCAATAGTATTTCATTGTAAAAAAAAAAACTTTCAAACTGTCTAATTGCTAAATCTAATAAATTTAGCTGGCTAGTCGAACGTAAACTTGAATGAATGTCTGAATTTTCAAGTGAAGTTTGAATAAGTGAAGATCAAAATAAAAACTGTACATTACGAAAATCGCTTTAGCTAACTGATTGAGTACGTCGGTGTTATTAGTTCCATGATCATGAGTACTATTCGATAATGTTGGAATCGATGATATTGAAAACATTGAATTAGAAAAATAACATTTTGAACTATGACTACTAACGTTTGTATTTTTATTAATAACATAAAATATAAGCAATGTGTTTGACCATCAACTGAGCAAAGTGTTTCGAATTGCTCAGTTTCTTTAACGAGAAAAATTTCATTCAAGGGGGTCCCCCACTCAAAAATCAAACTTCGACATAGTGCATCGCATTTTCATGAAACTTTCCGTAGATGTTTGGTCCATGGAAGTATACTCATAAAAAAAATTTCACGCCTTTAAACCTTACCATTCAGGAGATTTTTAGAAAACAAGGGGCAAAATAGGGCTCTTACCCGCACAAACTTTTTTTTAGTATACCTCAAGTTACAGAGCTCGGGCTACTTTCATTTGAAAGAGAACTCTTTTCTGCTTGGGATGAGGGAAAGGGTTTTTCGAATTTTTATTTTCTTCGATTTTAGGATCCTCAAAACCTCAAAAATCTGAAAATTGCAGATAAGGTTTTCTAGAAAACTCGGAATTTCTCTAATAATGAGGACTAAAAAAAATCCCTTTCCCTCATCCTAAGGAGTATTCATGTATCTATCGATTAAAAAAAGTTTGTCGGGGGTTCGATCATAAGCGCAAAATCGATTTGGAGAAAAATGCAAAAACTTTTTTTCAGCATTTTATTTACTTATCATTTGAAAACAACACAAAGTACGGCCATATCATATATCAGTCGCCAAAACTAATCAAGACGCGTTGGAGTGTATGTCTAAGGACACATGCAGCTAATGGCAAATAAAGTTGTCCACGTTTTTCCTCGATTTTTACCGAAATTCGCTTAAGAATATCACTATAGAGGATTTCAGAAACTTTTCGTGGATCTCTTCAAAACCTTTCGAAATTGAAAATTTTTTTAATGGATATTTAAAGTAGACACCTTAGGTGACATCTACGTATGCTTATCTGAAAAATCGACTTTTTTACAAAGATCGAATTTTCAGAGGGGGCCCCCTTAAATGAAAATAGAGTTTATGTCATTGCAGGTCGTTAACGACTAAAATGTACAACTTACATGTGTTCTTTAGTTTCATAATACTCATATGCAAAACACTTGAAGTGAAAAATTTTTGCCAGACTATGAAGGACATATGAGAAATTAAATTTTACCCGTTTTTACTTTTAAAGTTACTATGATTCTCATATTTTTCATTCTTAAGTCTTCTTACTTCTTTTAGATGAGTTTTCTTCACTATCCCCCCGAAAAGAGTGTGAGTGTGGTTCACGGTCTAGAGAGAGAACTATTCTAGAATTGAATCTTATCACATCTAAAAACTTCTTCGATATTCGTTTTTTTATATTTACACACTTAAAGTCATAGAATATTTAACTATAACCTTTAGTTGCAATTGGAACAACTGATTTTCCCATAGTTCTCGGTAGAGCTCGTGAAGTACGGGTCTAATCTCTCATCGTTACTACTCTTAAGGTAAAAGTCTATAATGACCACATTCCTAAACGATCACCATCAAGATGCCATGAAAAATGTGAAATAAATTCCAATGAAAATATAACGAATATGAATCCGTCAAACTGCCGAATTGTTGTCTCGCATATCTCTAAAACTTACACTCACTCTATTTTTCTGCGAAAAAAACCATAATGTGAGTTTCACAAAAAACAAAAACAGCCAATAATTTTACCATTAATTGTTAATAATAATGGATTAATATCAAATAATCTTTGAATATCGCTTAATTGAATAAGTGCCATATGCTTTTATGCCAGGTGTTTTTCACATAAACTGCGTGTAAAAAGTCTTTGCACAAAATATATGCTCAATTTTCTTCCACTTGAAGGTTGTAGAAGATAATCAAAAGCAGTCAGCTAGAATGAGAATTTCATGGTCTTTCTAAATACATATTCAGAATTTTTTTTTCTGACTTAAAGTTTATCCAATAAGAGTAAATCTTCGGTGAGGACCAAAATCGACGATTGTACAGAAATTTCGATGTAGTGCATTTTTGTACGTTCATTAAAAGTGCCTCAATTCTAATTATAAGAAAGTCTTCGTATACGCTAGTTTGTAGAGCAAAGCTTGCTCTACAACATGAGCAATTTGGTTCGCTTCCGACATATTGCCGAAAAGCGTACGAATCTATCGTATTGTAAATATCAAAATTCCCAAAAACCGGGTATTTTAGAAAATGTCATTTCATCTACAGAGTAGTATTTGAAAAACTGTTTTCAAATTTTGATTGTTTTGCGATATAACTTATTGGACGTCATTATTTTGTACAGTGGAAAATTCTCTACAAAACTAGAAAGGAGAAAGTATTCCAAAGTACACTTTCGAGAAATTGCACGCCATAGAAAAAAACTTATTTTGCATGGCACAAACAACATTTTTTATTTATTCAGGTATTTGTGTATACCTGACTAGCCACAAGTCAGGGTCAAGTTCGAAGGATATATTGAAAAGGAGTGTCAAATTTGAGTTCTACCTATTAGTTTCGGTCATCTTCAATTACAGTTAAAGGTGCAAAAAATGAGCAAACATAGTTACCAAATTCTTTGAAACTAGTGTTTGTACAAACGTCGTTTTTGGTGCCCATCGAAGATCTGCTCTTACTGGATAAGCTTTAAGTTAGAAAAAAATTCTGAATATATATTTAGAAAGAGCACGAAATTCTCATTCTAGCTGACTACTTTTGATTGTCTCCTGCGACCTTTAAGTGAAAGAAAATTGTACATATGTTTTGTGCAAAAACTTTTTACATGTAGGTTATATTCAAGACAATCAGAAAAAAGAAACAGTTACATGTGTTCGTTTTATTGTTAATACTTATGAAAGTTCAATAACTCGAAATTTTTCCATATAATTACGATGTGCAGCAAGGAACTCTGACTAAAATTTAACAACAACAAAATGTACTTTACACTGTCGGAATCGTTTTCTTACTTCACAATTATCAATACTATTAATCCAATGAACTAATTAATAATTGATAATCAACATACGTTGTTGATGTATATTTAAGTAAATGTTGAATGGGTTGTATCATTAAATTCAGCTAAATGTTTTTTACCTAATTCAGTCTTATGCTTAGGAATCTATTTGAAATAACTTTTATTTTTTACATTATCTATTCAATGAAATAAAATTACCTTAAGATAAGTATAAAAATGAGAATTTATTTTTTTTGTTAAATGTATGAATCACTTCTATTGTTTTAGCATAAAATTTTCTAAAATCTATTAGAAAAAAATAAAAGTTATATGAAAAATAATATTGGAATTAGTTAAAAAAATAGTTCATTCGAAAATGAAAGTAACATTGCGTATACATGAGTTAATGCAGTGTAAGGAAATTAAACTAGTTCATCACTATTGCAATTAAAATTTAATAACAGTGTGGAACCCCGACTAGATCACAAGGGTTTTGACCTATGCCGAATGCTAGTGTACAATATAAATAATTAGTTTAGTACGAGAAGAAACTCCAGAATAGTCTATGAAATCTGAAATATGTCAAAGACATCAAATGTCGTTAGATTCGATAACTCTTTCAATTGTTTTATTCGACTGATAAGCAAGAAAAAAATTTTGTGCATGCTTTTTAAAAATTATTGTGTGATGGTCGAGAAAATGGGTTTTTTTTCAATCTGATAACAAAGCATGAATGCTAGGTCGTATATTCAGATTCTGCTATCATATTGAACAATCAAACAATATTTTCCAAAAAGTGTACATAGATTTTTTTCCTTAAGTATATGGCGAGTAAACCCTTAGAGAAAGATCGAGCCTGTTGAGACTTGATCACTTTATGACTTTTTTGCAAATCTAATTTTTTCGATAATAACATTGTTCGAGTCTATCAAAAATATACAATATTTTCACAAGTAACTCGGCCAGTACAAGAAATTGGTCGCCAGAGATATATAATTATTATTCTCAATAGTATGAAAACTTCTTGATTAGTCTTATATTAATTGGATAGGATCCATTCCACCAGTAATTATTCGTTGTCTTTTTTAGGTCTTTTAGCTAGTAAAATATCTTCTATTGAATAATTATCTTATTCGAATGATTTATTAATGATTGATTTAGCAGTGGTTTGTAATAAATTTTATCAAACAATTTGATTCATATTTTTTTATTTGAATTTTACAGTTTATTGTTTTCGTAACGCGAAAGTGCAAGAACAGGTAATAAGAAATTTTCTTGTTTTTTTTCATTTTTAATTTTTGTTGAATTTTCTGTATGTGTACAACCAGCATCCGAACAATAATGATAAGATTTTAAGAGATAACCGATAATAATAATTGTACTAATATCACGATCTATACTATTATTAACAGCCTTAACATTGATTTGTATCACTTTTTGAAATATTAAGAAAAGTAATTGAGTCTCTAAATAGAGAAATACCAGTGCCATGTTCAATAGTTACTGTTACCAAATACATTGATATGTGAGTAAACGTGGATCTTTCAATACAATCCTATCATTTTTTTGTTCTGATGATGATCATACACATAGAATGAAAACTCGACAAACATTAAAAAATAAAAACAAAAAACTGTAAAATTCAAATAAAAAATATGTGAATCAAATTGTTAGCTAACATTTATTACAAGCCGTTGCTAAATTAATCATTAATAAAATTACCATTAAAATCCACATTTACTCTCATCTGTATTTCTTCAAATTTAATATTTACTATCTCTTCTAATACTATTTTGTTTTTTTTTACAATAAAAAAAGAATTTGTTTTTTTGATTCTTAAATTCGAAAAAATTTATTCATTCCAAGTTACCTATAGCAATATTGTCATCTAATACATTCTCATTTGTACTACTGTTAAGACGTTTTGAATTTAGTATATTATTGTGTCGTTCATTTATATATGAATGTTTATCATGACGTTTTCGTTTAATTGTCTTGTTTAATAATGAATCAAGTAATGGACCATCATCATATGGGGATGCCCAACTTGACTGGTACCCCATAGAAAATAATGTTATTTCAGGGAGGAGTATATAATGAATTTTATACTAAATGAAAGCTCGTCAAAAATGGAGTTTACTGATACCAAATAGTAAGGGTTTTGTAAACTTTATAATGTCGAACTTATAAAATTTCGAGAAATTTAATGCACTAAAAATGTTTAAAAACTCCCATTTTCTATATGGAAGAAAAACACTAAGTTTTCCTATGAAATTAGCTTTTTTTGCATTATTTCTACTACCTCACATGTTTTGAAATATATTCAATAGATACAGCATGGAAAAGTGAATTGAATAAGTGTATTTCGAAACATGTGAGGTAGTAGAAATAATGCAAAAAAGCTAATTTCATAGAAAAACTTAGTGTTTTTCTTCCATATAGGAAATGGGAGTTTTTAAACATTTTTAGTGCATTAAATTTCTCGAAATTTTATAAGTTCGACATTATAAAGTTTACAAAACCCTTACTATTTGGTATCAGTAAACTCCATTTTTGACGAGCTTTCATTTGGTATAAAATTCATTATATACTCCTCCCTGAAATAACATTATTTTCTATGGGGTACCAGTCAAGTTGGGCACCCCCATATTTACGTTCTGGGACAGGTACATTAAAGCCACAAGCAACAACATCGACACTCTTATTATGGCCTGTAGAAGTTAAACAGAGAATGATTGATCGTGGTCAAACAACTGCATCTGATCCAAATGAAATAGATCATGCTTCTTGTTTGAATTATGTCCAGAGAGTACTACAAAAATTTCGAAACCAAACCGAACATTATCAAGCTCAATTGAAAGAAAGAAAAAAACGTTTAAACAATTGTTGGACATGTGAAATTGAAGAAGCTGTTGCTAAATTTGTTCAACAACATGTCACACCTATATATAAAGTACCTACAGAAGGACAAATTGCTATCGTCCAATATGATTATAATGATCGATTGATTCAATTAGAATATTATCAACAGAATCCAAATGAATATCAAAAACAAATATTTGAAAATCTTGCTCAAGCCAAATATGAAAAAGAAACAGCTAAATTTGATGTAGCTATATTAAAACAACGTATTGTTTATAATCATTTACCAACATCATTTCATACACTTCAAATACCTGTGCCCATATCATTAGATACAATTACTGATACGATGACTCGTCAACATTTAAAGGATCGATGTGAGAAAATTTTACAACGAACGAAATCCGAAATGGTGATGGTTTATATTACAACAGCCGAAGCAAAAATGAATGAATATGAAAAAAGATTCAATACAGACTTGGCTAAAATGAAAGAAAATCAATGTTCTGGTCCATCACATAAAAAATTAACTCAAACAATGTTGAATATTATGGAACGACGTTTTCAGAATATAAATGAACGTCTTACATGCCTTTACAAATTAAAATTACGTTTTTTCGTCAAAGCTCCGACGGTCAAGAATTAGATTGGATCGATCGTCGGAGCATTCCTAACCAAAAATCAAACATTACGTGTTCACCATCAATAATTCAAGACACACGACATCATCTATCACAGGAACAAGTTACATTTCTTAATCGTGGACCAACCTATGTTCCACCATGTCAAATACATATTTTATCAAAATCTCCTTTAATACTGGGTCAAATCGTTACGAAACAAATGGCACCACTTCAACGAGAACTTACAAAACTTTTCATCAAATATCCAATCGATCTCACTCGTCAAATGCATTTTGAAAACGGGATTGAACAATTATTCAATGAATCATTTCTTCAACCTATGCCTTCTGTACTTGAAGACCGTGCACTCTATGAAAAACAGCTCATTCTATCAATCAGATATCAATTGAATAAAGATCAATTGATTCTACGACGAACTGCTGATGACATGAATACATATTATCTTGGTCAATTGAATGAATTTAATCAAAAATCGAATGAATATATTCAGAATTCAACTTGTTACGAACTGATTGAAACAATTAATGAAATTAATACAGAACAACAACAATTAGAAGGAATTATTCAGTCTATTGATTTACAACTGGAAATATTATATCAAAGAAAATTGATTAAAGAAGATCATTTAATCAGATTAAGTATTGGCAAAAAAACAAATATCGATCTTCCATATCTTTATTTCTTACCAGAAACGAATGAAAATGATTCTTCGACCATTATTTGATAATTTTTCACGATCAACAACATTTCTTAATGGTGGTGATTTTATACAAAAACTACAATATTATTGTATACAACTAGATCTTCTTCTACCGAAAACATATTTTGCAACATTTAAAATTCATGATTTATATATGAAGATATCACATTCGGCTCTTCTTGAAGCATTAGATATATTTCTAGTGAATCCACTTGTCAATGGTCAACATCAAAAATGATCAAGTGATGCTATTCAAGAATTAACTGCAATAGTCTTACGAAATAATGTTTTCTCTTACAATGGAAAAATCTATCGATTTATTAAAGGAGGTCCATTAAATTTACCATTAATAGAATTATTATGTCATATTTATATGCATCATTGGCAATATTCATTAGTTACACATATTTGTTTGAAAGATACATTCTATGGTCGATATAAAGATACAAGTTTTTTAACATGGAACGGTCCGATTGATCAATTTCAAACATTATTCAATAAACTTGAACAAGAACTAGGTTCTAATCTTCAAATGACAACATTTATTAGTAGTGATGTTCATTTTCTTCATGCTGCTATTGAAAATCGAAAAGGATCTTTACATACTCGTGTGCATCATGATTCGACAATTCAACCATTTTTATTACCTTATGAGCATAGTCATCCACGCTTATTTCATTGACAATGGTTTCGAGCTGCTCTTATACGTGCTGGTCAATATTGTAGTTCGTTCGAAGATTTTGAAGACGAACGACTTTATATTGAACTAATATTTCTGGCTAATGGGTATTCATTAGATTTTATCAAGTATCATATCAAACGATTCTTGACAAGATTTAATCCAGATGAACAAAAACCAATGAATTTGAACCGATCTACATATCTTTCATTTCGTAATGAATTATTTCGTTGTATCGATCAACAAAAACGTGATCTATTCGAAGAACAACAACTACAAAAGAATCATCAATTAATTCAATTACATTATCTTTTCGATTGGGGTTCAAGATGTCAATTCAATAAAAAGTTTTATCAATATTGGTCTACAATTCTCGAGCAAGATCCAGAATTTAAAAAATATAGATTAAAAATCAAACTTAATACTAAACATTGTTATTCATCGAATACTCTCTTGGCTCGATCGAATAATACATATCTATGAAGTGAGAGTAGTCAATTTTAAATATTTATTTCTTTATATTTCTATACATTTAGATATTTCGAATGCTTGATTTTTAGTCATCTATTGCAATTTATACATGTCATTTTATTCTTCTTTTTTTTCTGCATGTGTCTTATTTTTATGTTCTTAGTATAGTTAAACTTTTTTGTCAATAATATATTACTACAAAATTTTAATACATTCTGAACTATCACTCCTATTGTCTTACTCACTTTGAAAAATTCGTTATTATGATCATTAAAGTGATTGTTTTTTTGTTGTTGTATTTCTTCTAGTTGCTTTTTTCTTTAGATAGTATGAGAAAAATGTTGTTTTCCATCTCGTATATTCACTATGTTTCTTACTTTATATAGTAATGTACTAGAAATTTTTCGCTCTACATATTTCGTATTAGTTTAGCGAGGCTAGAAAACATACTTAAGTTTCACATCTCAGCTTCATTGAGACTTCGCTAATAAGTTTTTTGTTTTCTAGATAGAAATATTTATTGATAATATAGACTGTAATAAAGGTTCAATCAAAATGTCAGGTTCAAATGCTCAAGCTGGTTGGTATGAACCAGTTTCACAAATACATGTACTCATTGAACAAAAGCAAAACTTCGAGAACAACAAGAAGGAACTAAAGAGGAAGAAAAAGTCCCGTGGTAATCGGCGACTCCAACGCTATAGAAGGGAATTTCGAGCACGAGGAATGAACGATCACACCGTAAAAATGTTATTGACAATGCATCAAATCAATAATTCCATTCATCAAACTCATCGGGAAATAGACCACGATAAAATGATGGATGATTTTTTGGTCAGGAATGCTAATAAGGATATTCAAGTGTGCATGTTCTATGGAAACCAAGTACGATCAAATGATGAACAAAAAACAAATACGATGTTTTTCTTTTGTATCGAACCAAGGCAATAATTCATCACCTTCAAGAACACATCAAAAAATGAAAAACCATTACGATTTACCTACAGATGATTGGAAACTGACATGCAAACTCTTACCAAATTATAAGATCTTGTCTTCTCATGAATTCAAACGTTTACTCTGCAAAACTATTCCAACGGATCATTATCAGATTCAACAATGGTTAGCAAGTACTGAAATTTTACAATTCTCACAACAACTTGCTATATTCATATGTACTTCCTTTCAATTGAAAATCGAAGAAGATTATTGGTACTACATTGGCAATTTAAACATGCCTGTTGTGGCTTGGTTATCAGAAGTATCGAAAGATGTAACAGAAAAAAATTTCATTAATTGGGATCATTCGAAAACAAAACTAAATATTCAATATTAACAAAATCTCATTCGAAATAAATTACAACGACTAGAAATTAATTTATACAATTATTTACAACGATATTCATCATACTTAAAAATGAACGATGATAAAATGTCTTTTGAACAATGGATAAATATTATATGCAATGCTCTTGTTGTACTCATGCGAAATGATTTGCATCATTTCAATACAAGTTTTGAACAGAAGAAAATCTTATTTACGTATGATATCCATGATGTACATCTTGTCAAATCATTCTATGATTTAAATCCAATAGAAGAACAGGTAAATATTTTATTTAGCCTAACTTTCTCTTATTCTTCTTCTCATAGGTTTATTCTGCTCAACAAATATGGCGATCAAAATTAAGAGCATGTGAGAAGGTTATTAGTCAACAAAAGAAACGTTGGTCAAGGAGTAATCAAGTTATGGTTAAAGGAATAATTCCAGGTAATCATTCAATAACAAATATGAAACAAAATGAATTCGACATTGATGGTAGTGATCAAAAGAATCAATTATCACCTATGAAATGCTTTTCTCCTTCAATGCGTGCTATTATTCAAGCTCGTCTCGATAATATCGAACAACGTGCTCAACGAATTATAAAATTTATTCATGCTTCGTCTCAAGAATAACGATCAATTCCTTATTATAGATTTTACTGACTCTAGCATTCTCGATTGTTCATTTTAAGCAATATTGTAGAATGTAGTTCTATTGTAACATTTCATTCATTTCTTTTTTTGTGTCATGTTTCATAGATTGTTTTTCGAGTAGTAAACAAATTTATCTTCTGATGTTTTGCTTTTCTTTTTTCTTCTAGATCTCACTTTCAGAATTCTATCTTTGTTGTGTTGTATCCCATTCAATTTCAAATGGCAATGACAACATCAAATCTCAATTCTACTAAAACTATTACTCGTCGTAGTACAGTTTCTGACCCAAAAGTGAGACAGAAGAATAACAAAGATCTTTCTATTCTATGAACAATGATTTTCTTCTTAGATAGTCAATGAACAAGTCCTATCGAAAGAGCTTGACCAATTTTCACCTTTTAAAATCAATTCAACAAAAAAACAAATAACAAGATTTCCTATAGAAATTATTCTTTCGAAAACAATTGGTAGTGAATGGCAATCTATACCCGACTATCTTTGTTCAAAAAATCCATCTTTTGAAAAGAAACTCCAAACAATTTTACCATTAATCATGAATTTAGATGAATTAAGAGATACTGCTATTCTCATGCATAAAATTATGTCGATTGACATAGTACAATCTCTCTGGATAGTCTATCGAAAATATGGTATGGAAGAAATACAATCCAAACGACCAATCAATGAATCCGATACAAAACTTTGGCCAAAAGAAGTTTCATCACTCATGGAACAGTTAAAAAATGTTAATATTATCGATGAAAGTAGTTGTTTAATTTTTGCCAATCAATGTTTACAAGAATTGTACAATAAAAAGGAACATTATCGACACGAATTAAATGTCAAGACCACTCGTTTATCTGGTTATAACTGTAACATGAAATATACTATTGAAAAATTTGTGCAACAAGGACTTCAATCTTTACATATTGAAATCAATGAATATATTGCCACGGTTCAATATCATTATACCAATTTAATATTTCAACACACTTATTTTGCTCAAAATCCTAATACAAATCAAGTAAACTTCTTTTATATCGAGCTTATTTTATCTTACTATTTTAGATACAATCTTCGCTCTTAATCATATAAAAAAAGAAATTAGATAGGAAAAACAAAAACTTTTTTTCATTCATATCCTTCTCTCTTTCAGATAGAATCTTGACGAAAAACAAAAATATAATCAGTATAAAATACGAAAGAATAGCAAAAATTCAAAATATTTTCTATTGCATATGGATTTCAATACAATTGATTTAACTCGAGCAGAACAAGCTACTTCTTTGTTAATTAATAATGAACAACAAGAATATCAATCAAGAACATTATTAGATAAAAATAATGGACGATATGCTTATTTACCTATATTTCCAACAGAATATGTTGGTCCAAATGAGTATTTACTTTTGGCTAATGTACCAGGTTCATATGTTCGATATAAATTGATTATAAATCATTTCATTTCATTGTCTTTTAGTTAGTCGTCTTTCACCTCATCAAATTAATCGACGTCAATATGGAGCCTATACTTTCGATGCACTGATGCTGATGAATAAGTACACTTATTCCGATGAATTTAGTTTATCTGAACACGATGCTAATGAATTAGCTTCACAATTACAAGTAGGCAAATCAATAATTACTTTCAATGCACAACGACTTCGTAGCATCTGTCATACTCTTCTTGCATTCCATGAATCATTTCGACGACACGTTCTATGTAAGAGTGATGTTGCTCTAAAAGAACCAACACTCAATTCGAGACAAATGGCTATGGCATTGGAATTCTATTTACAAATCGATGGTTAGTCTTCATGTCGATATATATGATGCATATATGTTTCATATTTTTTAGTGGATTTATTCTATATGAAAACTTGTTCGTTTCGAGGAGCTCAACCTCCATCTAATATAGAAGGTCTATTTTGTGGAAGAGATGAACCTCAAGCAAGATATTCATTGGTTCCATGTGATAATCTTTTTTGTCAATGTTGTCTTCCATTAAATACTTACAAGAAAAGTCAACCATGGCCAATTGTTAATTTTGCTTCAAGTTCAATACATCGATTTCTCAATGGTTATACTACCTATCTCAATTGTCCAGCAGTATGTTGTCCTTAAATGTTGAATTTTATATCGATCGACTATGACTAAAATTTACACATGTACTACATCGAATATAATTTATGCCATGACATGTCCATGTGGTCATTATGATTATGTTGATTCAACAGCAAAAACATTGGCTCATGCTATGGCTTGTAAATATAAATTTTCTTACGATAATCATGAGCATGCCTTTATTTCTCTTCTTCATTTTCTTATAATATACAGATCATCGAGAACATGGCAATCGAATTATACATGAAAAATTAACTGGTAGTCCTCTATTTCGAGGATCACAAATCGATCCTAATGAAAGAGAGTAATAAAAGACATTCGATCATTCTTTCAATTATGCTACATATTCATTGTTTTCTTTTTCATTGTTGTAGAAAAGAAATGGCTAACCAAATGCGTCTCTATCAACATTCAGCTCGTTGTCCAGAAGCACTTCGTTCATTTCTTGATTGTAATCCTATGTATTGGTGTTTTATTCCTCTACCTTGGGATGAAGCAGTAACAGAAAATGTTGCTAATCGTCCAGGAAATTCTACTACAGATCCCAATCTGGATGCTGTGATAGCAACAACAGCCGTAGGCAATCGTAGGGTGGCCAATTATCTAGGTAATGTACCATTATCACCAACTTCCTATGCCTTCTCATTTCGACAGCTAAAACAACAGCGTCTATTTTTCGAACGATTTGCTACGTCTTCCATTCATTACCGGCCTTATATCAAATTAGATTTGTATAACATAGCAATTATTGCCGTTTGTAAGTAAATCTATCTTTATCAACCACATCATCATCATCATTATCATTTATACCTGTTTTTCTTTCACATTGATTTAGTACCAGATGATTGTTCAACGATACTACGATACATCATTGAAACATTATTCATTATTCATGGTGAAACTAAATTAAATATGATTTGTCCACTTGGTGGTGATGCTGAAAAACGTTACGGTCCTTCGTATAACCTACATTGGTGTGCTAATTTGAATCATTCATCAAAGTAAATCACGACATCAACTCAGTGACCTTTTAAAAATACAATGGTCACTATTATAAAATAAGATTTAATCAATATAAGCAACTTTATTTACCTCGTAGAAATTAGCTAACCTTTAGTGTTCGTAATCTGTGTGCGAAATCGTTAACCTTAGATTAATGAAATACATTTGTGTACTTCTTCTAATATCATACTCATATATATTTTCATTCTAGATAAGTGTAATCCAAGACGCACAGTTACTAGTATCCTGCTTAACTGAACAAATCCAATACATTCTCGTCATAAATCAAGCCATATCACTGCCAAATACACGACAAATCAGTCTATGTTCGCTCAACATCTGTACAGATCATTAGACAACGGCTTGACTGAAACCAAAACATCAATCTATATACTAAAAACCTATCTCCACTAGCTCTGCATTAGGTATCAGAACTGTGACAATACCACATCGGAAACATTATCCAGAATAAACAAACATAATCAATGAAACACAAATAAATAAAAAAAACAACACCATCGGATGAAATTACCCGTCCACTCCAAAACGAACTCACATATTTCAAACACTTACCAGATTATCCCTAAAAAAACACTAAAATTACAAGCACTAACAAACCATTTGACATACTGCTACTTCATAAAACTGCTCGCCATTTCCATTAATCCATCCAACTCGCACTAAACTACCTTCATTCCATCTACACTATCGAAACAACAAACGCCAAACCAGATACTACACATACCAACAAACAAAAATCTTCCGACAGAAGATTCTACGCTACTTTTCCATAGATTTATAAACATCTATTCCTTCCAAAAACAAATTCCTCTGCGCCACAAAAAACACTATCAACTATGTCATAACAACGCTCAAAAATCTACGCCGAATACCACTCTTTCCGATTCGACTGCTTTTACACTCCAAATCGTAGCAGCATATCCCACAACATCCTTTATTTACACAATTGCTGAAGATGTCCCTTAAGCAAGATCGAAACCGGTCGCAAGTTGCTTGTGCTATTAAATAAATTTTATACACACCCACACCCCTATTATATGTAATTATAAACTATCTGACAAAAAGGACATTGGTCTTTTTAATAAACATTATAGACTTTTCTTATTTCATGCCTTTTTTGTTAATTTCAAACCTATTAAAATAGAACCACTTCTTCGTGTGTCAATATTTGTAGATATTTACATCATTTTAAAGATTTTTCTGTGCTTTTATCAAGGAATGAGTCTAGCACAAGGAAATGTAAGTGGAACCATGTTGAGTTTACAGAATACATAAGCGTTATTTCTATTTTAGATTGAAGTTATTTTTCAGGAATTTCATGATGATTTTCATGCAGATGACGAGACAAATATTCAATTCGATAAGAGACGTAGGCGATTCGTGAAAGAATATGATGATGATTTATTTGATATTGAGCAATGTCCAGAGGTAGATCAGATTTTACCTGGCTTAACAGTTGGTGAACAAGAAAAACAACAATATTTATCTGGAAAGTTAAGCCACCTATCAGCTACACATCAAGAATCCGAAAGTACTACTCGAGCAGCCGATGTACTATCGCGAATAAAAACAGATAACGTCGTCATCTCCAGTCAATTGATACCATAATATTTATCACATGAAAGTAAAGAATTCGATCGGATGATCCTCGGTCTCCGTCAACAAACTGGCACTATTATTTATACGGAAGAATTACGAGCTATTGCATTTCTCATTGATCAACTTCAATGTATTAAATTAGAAAAACATCTTTATACGACATATTTACGTTCTGGTCAGGGTACATTAGTACAAAATAAAGAACCGTCGCTACTATTGTGGTCTAACGAGCTGAAATTAAAAATAATTGCAGAAAATCAAACGAAAGCCACGCATCCGAACGAAATCTATCAGGATGAGTGTGTAAAATACGTAGAGAAAATTCTAGAAAAATATAGAATTAAAATGTCCGACTACCAAAATCAATGGGAAGAGAAAAGCGACATTTACGCAGTCGCTGGACAAGTAGAATTGAAGAAACGATTACGAAATTTGTTCAAGACTATAAGATTATTCTATATCAAATACCTATTGAAAAAGAAATCATCCGTATTGAATATGATTTCTTTGATCGATTATTCGAACTTGAATTTTATAGTGAAAATTCAAATGTGTATCAAGTAAGTTTTGGAACAGTATAAAACATTATATTTCCTAGTTATCTTCTTCTATTTAGAAACAACTATTTCAATAT